AAACACACCTCAACTTCAAAAACAGACATTACCTCAGAGTAAAGAGTTGGGATAAGATTTTCCAATCAAATGAACCCAAGAAACAGCTGGTGTAGCTATCCTAGTATTGAACAAATTAGACTTCAAACTAAAATCAATCAAAAGAGATAAAGACGGTCATTTCTTATTCATCACAGGAAAAATCTATCAGGAAGAAGTTTCAGTTCTGAACATCTATGCCCCAAATACAAAGGCACCCATGTTCCTAAAAGAAACATTACTAAAACTCAAATCACACATAAGACCTCACACAGTTATAGTGGCAGACTTCAACACCCCACTCTCACCACTAGACAGTACCACCAGACAGAAACTTAACAAAGACACAAAGGAACTAACAGAAGTTATGACCAAATTGTGTTTAACAGACACCTATAGAACATTTCATCCAAACGCAAAAGAGTATACCTTCTTCTCAGCGCCACATGGGACCTTCTCTAAAATAGACCACATACTTGGTAATATAGCAAACTTCAAAAGGAACAAAAAATATTGGAATGACCCCCTGTATCTTATCAGACCACCATGCGTTAAACTTAGAATTCAACAACAATACAAACTGCAGAAACGCTACAAACTCATGAAAATTGAACAACGTATAATTGCATCATTCCTGGGTCAAGGAAGAAAGAAAGAAATTAAAGACTTCCTAGAATTCAATGAAAATGAAGACACAACATACCCAAACACACTGACACACTGAAAGCAGTACTAAGAGGAAAGTTCATAGCACTGAGTGCTCATATGAAGAAACTGGAGAATAGTTATACTAGAGAATTAACAGCACAACTGAAAGCTCTAGAACCAAAAGAAGCAAACTTACCCTAGAGGAGTAGATGCCAGGAAATAATCAAATTGAGGGCTGAAATGAATAAAGTCAAAACAAAGAAAACAATACAAAGAATCAATGTAACAAAGTGTTGGTTCTTTGAGAAAATCAGCAAGATAGACAAACTTTTATCCAAACAAAAGGCAGAGAGAGAGAGAGAGCATGCAAATTAACAAAATCAGAAATGAAAAGGGGGGCAAAACAAGACAAACATGGTATGTACTCACTCATATATGGATTTCAGACATGAAGCATGGGAGTGCCAGCAAACAATCCCACCACCAGAGAGTCTGGGAAACAGGGAGGGCCCTAAGAGAGATATGCATGGTACCCCAGAGAAGGGGAATGGGACAGGATCTCCTTAGTGGACAGGGAGCATGGAGCAGGGGAGGGATCTGGGGCAAAGTGAGGGGGAGAAGATAAGGGGAAAGGAAGGTTGAGTCAGGGGAAGAATAGAGGAGAGCAGGATGAGAGATACCATAATAGAGGGAGTCACTATAGGTTTGAGGAGAGATCTAGCATTAGTGAGATTTCCAGAGATCTACAAGGATGACACCAACTGGCAATCTAAGCAGTAGTGGAGAGGTACCTTAAATGCCCTCCCTGATAATAAGATTGACGACTTCTCTGTATTTCATTCTAGAGCATTCATCCAGTAACTGATGGAAGCAGAAGCAGACACCCACAGCTAAACACTGAAATGAACTCCTGGAATCCAGTTGCAGAGAGGGAGGAGTGATGAGCAAAGAGGTGGTGAAACCCACAGAGATAGCTGACCTAAACAAGGGGAGCTCATGGACCCCAGCCTGCTGGCAGAGAGGCAAGCATGAGACTGATCCAGACCCCCTGAATGTGGGTGTCAGTGAGGAGGTCTCAGCAATCTTTGGGGCCTCAGGTACTAGATCAGTATTTATCCCTGGCATCAGAATGGACTTTGGGAGCCCATTCCACATGAAGGGATGCTCCCTCAGCCTGGACACATGGGGGAGGACCTAGGCCCTTCCCCGGATGATATGACAGACTTTGAAGATTCTCCATGGAGGGCCTCACTCTACCTGGAAAGTGGAGTGGGGATTGGGGTGATTGGTGAGGGTGGGGGAGAAGAGGAAGGAGAGCGAGCTGGGATTGAAGTGTGAAGCAAGCTTGTTTAAATAAAAAAGAATAAAATGCAAAAACAAACAAACAAAAGTTTCCAGCCAAACCTAGCTACTCTCCAGTACCATTAGGCAGAATACTAAAATGCTATAGTCATCAAGTTTTGGGGTGATTTGCTATGGATTAATAGGATCATTAATGAAAACACTAGCGCTATGTATGAAGTTCCATTTCATCATTCTTTCTTCATTGTACCTATTATGTCTGTATATTTAGAGTTGTGAAGTGAGTGCAATTTACAATGCAATCATGTTGCTTGCTAATAATATGTTAGAGCAGTAAGTTCCTCTATAGCACAGGTTCTCAACCTGTGGGTCACAATCCTATGGAGTTGTACATCAAATATCCTGCATATCAGATATTTACATTACAATTCATAACAGTAACAAAATGACAGTTATGAAGTAGCAATGAAAGAATTTTGTGGTTGGGGGTCACCACAACATAAGGAACTGGGTTAAAGGATCCCAGCACTAAGGAGGTTGAGGACCACTGCAAGAATCTGCTATCTGTAACCCTCAACAACCAGACCTCCCAGCTTGACGGATAAGGGTAGTACAACCTCTGAAATGAGGCCGGGCTGTTCATAAATCCTTGCTTTACTACTATTGATGGTGTGACCATAGGCGGATTTGTTAACCTGTTTCTTCCCATTGGAAAGGAGAACAATAGTAGTGTAGTGAAGTAATATGTGTATCGAGGTTTGAAATTCCCATCCTGACACATACTGTCTAAAGAATGACTTCAGTACTTAACGTCTTTGTGCCTGTCTCCACCTTTGTTTAATGGGCCTGTTATTAGTAAATATTTACTGCATAATATAGACACTCAAAACTTTAAAAAATTAAATTAAAAGTGTGCTTTATTCTAGGAAATCTAGTATGGGTAGTGCTTTATAAAATCTTCATGAAACTTTTTTGAATGGGTATTAATTCATGTAATAGGAAAAGATATTTAATATTTCTTTTTGGGAATAAATGAAATCCTCTTTAGGTTTTGCCTCTTGTATAATGGATAGAATATCTTTAAGTATAATAATCATTTTATTTTAAAATGTAGTTATGTTCTGAATGTTATATTATTTACCTGAATACATGTATATATATATGTATATATTCATTTACCTGGTGGCCATTTTCTTTCTTTGTCTAAAATTTTTCTGTTACAGGTCTGTCCACCAATGGACTGTTACTACGTGACTCAGGGCTGATGGGTTTCTGGGTTTCAGCTGAAGCATGGTGCCACACAAGAGCATCTATAGGAATGCATGAGGCCTTATTTCTTAGCACCGTGTTTGGGTGCATGTTGGTATTTGAAGGAAGGCTGTCAGATCCCATCCCAGTCTAACATAAAATACATCTGACAGTCTTGAACATCAAAGAATTATTCTGTCTCATATGATGTTCAAATATCTGGTAAGAAATTCAAGCTGTTAAAAAATTTTAAGCTACATGATCCTGGAATATGATTTTGTTTTTAGATGAACACAATACATTTGCATAGTTTAAATATCTCCTTGCTTTACAGGCTTGGTACCACTGAGTAAATTAATAGAACATTGCATTTTCCTTTGTTCAGAACTTTGCTAGGAGTTGCTCACCATTTTAGGCAACCATGGCACATATGCCAGTGAACTTGTGCTTCTTAAATGGAGAACCTCAGGTGTCTGTGTTAATCTAACCCCACGGCTATCACTTTTGTAGGGACTCTGTGTAGGTCACAGCATCACATCACCTAGTGCTGTTGGACAAGACTTCAGCTGTTGAGATCAGTCTGCCATGAATCACATTCCTCTTATTTTTCCTCTGTTTTACAGTCTGGACATGTGATGATTGATTTTTATAAATGTTAGTGTTAGAAGAATCACCTATAACCTTCATTGCATGAAAATAAATGGTATGTTGAAAACAGTTATTAGAAGGTGAGATTCTCATGAAGAGGCAGAAGGGCCTGGAGACATGACGAGGGAGAGGCAGAAACGTCCAGTCACTTGGGTGTTCCCCTAGCGCTCTGTGCTGGGGGTGGGGATTTACTTAGAAACTGGTCTGCTTCTCTTGAAACCACAGTTTTGACTTGAGAGATCCCTAGTGCTGATCGCACAGTTCCCACACTAGTACTGATCCCACAGTTCCCCACAGTGGCTTCTCTCGACCATCACTTGGGAGGAAATGCCTAATCCAGCAGCTCTGAAGAGCAGGGGACTGGTTCATTAATTATAGCCCTTTCATTGATTACCTGCTCACTGCCACCGAGTCTGTTCTTGCTAGTTCCTGTTTGTGGTGTGTGTGTGCGTGTGTGTGTGTGTGTGTGTGTGTGTGTGTGTGTGTGTGTGTGTGTGTGCTGTTTTACTTTAGTTTAATCTTGGGAGAAATATTGTCAATACTTAGTCTAGGCTGTATGAGTAATCATTATGTAGCCCAGACTAGGCTCAAAATCACAGAAATCCTCCTGCCTCAGGTGCCCAAGGGCTAAGATTTTAGTTAGAAGCCACCATGAGTGGCTATGTCTCATCAGTCCTTTCTATTTCATTGTTGCTTGGGTGTCTTCTGTTGTAGTTGGTCTGCCTCAGTCTTTCAAGTGCTCCTGTTATGGTCTTGTACCATCAGGCCTCATTCAACTTCATCCAATGCTACTACACCTGCTGCAAGTTTCTAAAGCCTTTCTCAGCACTGGCTTGCCCTTCAGGTTTCTAGCACAACTTATTTTGCTTTTTATTTTCTAATGTCAAAGATACTTTGGGAAAAAATAGAAGACACATAGTAATTAGCTCTCTTCAGTTAGACATCATCTTGGGCACTTTAAATGAAGCCAATACTCTTCCACAATTGACATGTTAATGTTTTTTCATGAGTAGCTATAAATTTTACTGCTGACAAATACATTTCATGCAATTAAACTATCAGAATTGAGCTTTTTCTTCTGCTTTGTTTAATAAATTATCAAAAAAGTGCAAAAAAAAAAAAAGAAGATAACTTACAGTCCATATCAAGTACGGCACGAACAGATCTAACAAGCTCCTTGGATTCCAGAAGCAGGTTTGCTGGGAAGCTGCGTCCATTCTTTCCCAGCAGTGGGAGCGAAGTCTGGGATGCAAACACGGCTCGTCTTTCGCTGCATGGGCAATGAAATGGCTTTGAGTACACTGCACAAAAAGCAACAACAGTGCATCTTTGCTAACCCTGAATCTGTGTCCATACGCTTGTGCAAAAGTATTTCTAATCCTAGGAACACTATATTTGTAGAGCTATACAGGAACTCAATCACACAAAATAGGACTTCTGCTTTCACTTGTTTATTATACAATAAATAGGCATATTTTAAGAAGTATTTTGACTTTATATATAAGAAGGAAGTAAAGGAATGATAGCCTTCATCTTAAATAATTTGCTGGGTCTTTTTGTTTCATTTTGTAAAATTTCAGACTAAACATATAAGCCTTAGTTTATTACACAGATGTTTTCTATTTTTTATACTAATGTTGAATATAAATTCAATATCTATCTATTTACTTCATAATATCTTTTAAATTCTCCCATTAGTTTTTCCTAATTACAGAAGAGCCTAAAGGCCTTATATATTTTTCTTACTATCACATTTGATTTTACTTTTTTAAAATAAATTTTGTTCTTAGATAATTTCTTTGATAATTTTTGTTTTGTGTTCCAGAGTTTAACTAAGGTGTCATCTGAAAATAATGCTTTATGACATAATTTAAAATGAGACATTTTCCTCAAAAATTACACTAATGCTTTTACTTGAAGGAGACAGATGACTCTGTATTGAAAAAAAATCAGTATTTACAACCCACCTTTTAAAACATGATGACATTAATTCACAAGGATAACCAAGAAATCTCCAATTCAAATATATATCCTTTACTCTGTGTTAAATGACCAAGGTCAATCCATACAGAAGATGTGGTTTATTAAGAATGGCCAAGATAGTATCAGTGTTTAACTTGTAAGACACAGCAAAAATTGCATAATGTAGCTTTTAAAGTGACCCTTTTTCCCCCCTCTAAGAAGTGCTTTAGGGTAAGGATTGGCTTTTGGCTTTTAACCAGTTTTCTAAAACCTGGTATTTAATATCAAAAATTTGAGTTAGTAAAGATCAAAATGAGACTGAAGGGGTGGGCACACTTAATATGTAAAACAGGAATGTGACTACTAAGTGCTTTAAAATCCTCAATAAAACAATATACATAGAATTCACAGAATTACATTGTAAGCAGCAGAGTTAATAACAAATGTCTGATTCTTTCATAATAAGAAATTAAACATTAAAATGAACACAAAACCCAGCAATTGTAGACATTATTTCCTTTTTTTTTTAAGAGAAGGTCTCAGTGTAGCAGCACTGATTCGTCTTGAAGTCAATAGAGATTCTCCTGTCTCAGCCTTTCAAGTGCTGGTATTACAGGCAGAAGCCATTGTGTGTGGTTGCCATTTCCTTTGTTGAACTACTGTTTTCTCTGTAGCAGTAGTTTGTGTTTCTGCAAGCGGTGCTGGTGGAGATGGATACAGTATGAACTATGGCAGTCATAATGACACAATCACTTTCAATGCAGACCAGCAATACTACCTCTTCTGTGTATGCCCGCCCTTCATCCCTATCAACGTCAGTGAAAGTTGAGACAAACCTTACTTGCATGTTTGTAGCTCTCAGGAGGAATCCTGAAGACAGCAGCATGCTACGAATAATAACAAATCAAGGTGCAGTCTACAAACATTCTTCTTTTATTTATATCACCGAATGAAGAAAATGAAAGAAGGTTGATTGTGTGAATATGTTTTGCAAAATTCTATTTGACGCAACGCATCTGCCAGGCTGAACCATTTTCAGCAGTGCATCTGCCACCAGCAGCTCCCCCACACACAGACAGGATGTGTGAATCGGCAACCCTAAGAGTACAAAGTTACAATGGCTGTCTAAATGCTTCCAGCAGTTTCTTTTAGAGATGGAACCTAAACAGTATGTTCTTGTACTTCCTTCCAAAAAGTTAAAAAAGAGCATTCAGTGGGAATCATGCAGCATCTGAAAGCTGATCTAGAGTATCTTAGCCACAATTATACACAAAGGAATTAGTGTTCATGTGCTGTGGAAAGCAACACGTTCTTACCTTAAACTTGAGAAAGGAGCAGAACTATCCAAAAGTACTTCCTGAGCAGCCTAGTGACAAACAAGATGGTGAAGGAGACTTGCAAGCTTTATAGTTTAAAAGCAAAACCAAAAACCTTGCTTGATTAATATTTATAATTTCCTCCTTCACTGAGTATGCAGATGATCCTATTATGGTGGGTGGGTCAATTATGTTAACATGAAATTCTACTTGGAGATAATTATAAGGTATTTATTGACATAAAATATATTTAATGTGTGTGTGTGTGTGTGTGTGTAGGGAAAAGGGACCAGTAAAAGAAATACCCTGCAGCACTCGGGAGGCAGAGGCAGGTGGATCTCTGTGAGTTCGAGGCCAGCCTGGTCTACAAAGTGAGTTCCAGGACAGTCTCCAAAGCTAGAGAGAAACCCTGTCTAGAAAAACCAAAAAAAAAAAAAAAAAATACCCTGAGCAGAGCCAAAGAAACACACTTTGGCCCTGCAACCAGAACTAAAGAAATGTACCCTGACCCTGAAGCCAGAGCCAAAGGGGCACACTTTGTCCCTGGAATAAGAGTCAGTGAAAGAAATGCACTCTGGCCTTAAAATTGGAGCCAAAAGGCTAAAAAGGACCAGAGAAAGAAACACACTTTGGCCCTGAAAACGAGAGCCAAATCTGACCCTAATCCTGTGCAGAAAACTAACCAATCCTCTAGCAGAGCTCTAGCCAATCTGAGCTCAGCACTAAAATCTGACCAATCCCCACCCTGGAAGCCCTACATACACCCTGTGTCTGCTGTCCTCTGTCACTCTGGCAAAGGACAGCCACTCTCCTGGATTCTTTCCTCCCAATAAACCCCTTTGATGAGCTTTGGGTGAAGATCTTTTGCGGCGGAGGTGGCGGAGCACAGGCGACCCTGGGCAGAGCAGAGTTAGCAGAGCTGTAACACTTTTGTCTGGAAAACCTTCCCTTGGAAGAGCAGAGTTGTTACATTCCACTCTCCATTCTCCACTCTCCACTCTCAGCAACTTTGCCCAAGAAACCTCCTGCTGAGCAAAACTGCTACACTGGGCTAACATCCCCAGCTGGAAGACCCTGTCCTGCCTGAGCAGAGCAGATACACCGGGGAAGCCTTTCCCTGAGGCTGGGCTGTAAGCAGCTAAGCTTACTACAACCTGTGGTGGTCCTTAGCTCCCGAGCTCCAGGATACCTTTCCACCTGAGCTGTGTAACATTCAGTATTCTGTGACTCCCGAGTGCCAGAATACCTGACCCATCCCGAAATGCCTACTGTGTGTGTGTGTGTGTGTGTGTGTGTGTGTGTGTGTGTGTGTGTACATTCACAGATACCTGTAGAGGCTAGAAGATGGCGTTGGGTTCCATGGAAATGGAGTAGTTTAGTTGGTTGTGAGTCACCTGACATGGGGGCTGGGAAATGAACTCGGCAACTGAATTCTCAAGAGCAGGAAGTACTGCTAACTGGTAAAGTAAATCATCTAGCTAGCACTTCATGATAGTGTAAATAGTTACCAAATTATGTTTACACGGTATGAGGATTTTTAGGCAAGTATTCATTGGAGCACAGTACATTTTATTGTATGTATATTTATTACTAACAATCTATATAATGTTAGCTATTCTTCTTGTATACCAAGGCAAGTCTAAATCTGATTGTAAGTTAATTGCTATATTGAAACAGAGATGTTTCTGTAGTCTCCAAACCATGACTTTTTTCTATGGCAGTACTTATTTCCTTTCCCTCCCTCCTTTACTCCGTTCTCCCTCCTTTCCTCTCTCAGTACTGGGGACAGAATTTAGGATCTCAAATGCCAGGCCAGCATTCTACCACAGAAGTCTATTTCCAGCCCTCCTTTTAACTTGTTATTTTGATGCAGGGTCTCATTATGGCCTTGGATTTGCTATCTTCCAGCCTTGGGATCCCAAGAAGCTAGGATTACAACCTTGTGCCTTCAGGCCTGGCAGGATTCTTAAAAACAAAACAAAACAAAACAATGTACTATAGTTATCCCTCAGTCTGTACAGAGGATTGGTTTCAGGGTCCCCAGGTAAATCAAAATTCACAGATGCTCCAGTGGTTTACTAGGTATGCATGTGATCTACATTGCTTATGGATTCTTTACATCATCTCTAGATGACTTATAAATAATACAATATAGCTTTGATGCAAATAGTTTTATAGTCTCTTCTATTCAAAATAAGGACAGAACTTTTTCTATACTTGCTTCCTACCGAAGTAACCACCTCAGGCCTGAGCACACGGTGTACAAATGAGAAATGAGGTGAATGGCATTCTAGAGAGTACTGGAGAAAGACAATGATGATTGTAGTGGGGTATTACTACCCATCACTTCATTTGCATAAATTCAACATAGAACTTGGTGTGGTTTATGGGAATTTCTGGAGTTTCTGTTCCTAGTTTATGGGAATTCTTGGAGTTTTTGTTCCTGAATCTTTTTATTCCACAGTTGGCTGAACTCACTGCTGTGGAATCCAAAGAGACTGAGGGTCAACCTCAGAGAAAACTTACCTCCACAAAACGAAGGAGGCTTTCAGTAGATGCCTTGAAAGTTTTCCGAGCCATTTCTGATTTTCTCAATTGGCAGTCAAGAACCGTGACTCTCTTTCTCAAGTCCTGGATACTTTCCTGGGCAAAGATGGCAAAAGCAGCACCGTCCACATTTCTTCAACTTTCAACAACTTCTTCCTCTTTTTAAATTTCATACCCAGATATCTGATACTACCATTTCATGTATTGTCTCTCTTTTTTACAAATAGGTTCTGATTTTGAGGAGAGGTGGAATATAACTGATTAGGTATTTAAAAGTTAATTTCCACCCAGATACTTTAAGTTGTATGGCATATTTTACATATGACTTTTAATGATTTTTACATGAATTACATTCATCTAACATTTTTTAAAAGAACTTGTTTTAACAGAGTGTAACAGAAAGACTTCCATAGATAGCATAGCCCAAAGTGCTGGATATACACACACATATGCACGCACACACATACACACAATCCAATGTGAGGCTGCACTATTCACAACAGAGGAGTAAAAGCATTCTAAGGAGAGCAGCAGTAGTGCCCAGTGAGTCACAGAGGTAGAGGATGCTGAAGCATCATTTGCCCTGAGGCACATCCTCATCCTGGAGGTCCACATCATGGGTTTCACCAGACACACGGGACATGCAGAACTACGATGGGTAAATGAGTGACATGGTTTTCATAGAACTTGTAATCTGATTTTGGCTCTGGTCAGTTAAAGGAATCTGTTCTGAGTAATTCCCAAGTGTAAGTCCCTACCAAGTAATGCTCAACCAACGACTGCTAGAAATCCAGAGAAGATTTGGGGGGCTGAATTTATATTATTTAGATGAAACAAAACCCCACAACCTGAAATTCTTACTTAAATTGGCCCTAGGTTAAGAGAAGCAGCAATAAAATTTCTCTGCAAGCTATTTTCTAAATTGAGATTTCATAGAATTTCCATAATTGTGTGTCAAAAGAACACAAACTTAAAGTAAAAGAATCACTAAAAATGAACAAATATTTTACAAACTGATAATTAGATAATCATCAGATCTAAAAGAAAGTATATATTAATCAGGTACATAAACATAATTATATTTAGTATGTTTAAAACAGAAAATTGAAAATATAATAGGCCAGGTGGTAGCTCAAGCCTTTAACCCCAGCACTCAGGAGGCAAAGGAGGCAGATCTCTGAGTTCAAACCAGCCTGGTCTACAGAGTGAGTTCGAGGATAGACAGGGCCACACAGAAACCTGTCTTGAAAAACCAACCAACCTAACAAACAAGTAACAATAAAACAAAATAAAGAAAAACAAAATTCAAGAGGACAAGGAACTCAAAAAATAGATCCAGTGACAAAAAATATTTTAAGAAGATAATCATTAAATTAGAACATAACAAATATACCCAATTTCATGCACCTAATAAGACAATAGAGAAACTAGAAAACAGAACTAGTAAAATTTCTGAGGACTGATGAGTAGGTGAAATTTGAAATATAAGTGAAGAGGAAAGAGAACACAAGCGAGTCTCTTGAATTGCACAGAGATCACCAAAATCAAAGGGAAATAGCACGGGGGCCGGAGAGATGGCTTGTTGCTTAACATCACTTTCTGTTCTTACACAGGACCTGGGTCCCGTACCTGAAACATGCAAGGAAGCTCACAGCTGGCTGTAACTCCAGTTCTAGGGATCTGATGCCCTTTGATGCACCAGGCATGCAAAATACTCATGCACTTAAAATGAATTAGTAAATAAATGTTTCTAAAAAGGTGGGTATTGTGGATTGTGCTGCATACCTTTAATCCTGCACTTAGGAAGCAAGAGGCAGGGGGATCTGTATGAGTTCAAGGGTAGGCTGGCATACATTGTGAGATCCTGTACAGAGCAGGGAGGATGGAGGGGAAGAGGGAGGGAGAGAGGGAAAGAGAAAGAGAGAGACACACACACACACACACAGAAAGAGAGAGAGAGAGAGAGAGAGAGAGAGAGAGAGAGAGAGAGAGAGAGAGAGAGAGAGAGAGAGAGAGAGAGAGAGAGAGAGAGAGAGAGAGAGAGAGAGAGAGAGAGAGAGAACGAGAATTAATGAGAACAATCAGGATGAAATTTAGGGCTTCCCAGAAACGGCAAGAAAACGATCCTCCGATTAGGACATTGGATGAATCCCAAACAGCATAAATTACAATAGATCAGACCAACAAATGACTCACAGGGTTAAAACACTGATATCAAAGCCAAAGATGTTTTAAAAATCATACAGAAGGAAACACATTACAAATAATTGATAGCTGACATGACAGCATGGGAAAAAAACAATGACAAAGTTATATGGTAACACAATATTCTAAAAGTATCTCATTATAAAAAATTGAATCAAAATGATTTTCAGAGAAACCAAATGGAGAGTTTATTATCAACAGATCATCACGAAATGAATTTGAAGCAACTGTTTCAGGAAGCAAGAAAGCCCGAGATGTAATAAGGAACTATGAACAAAAGGTCTAAGCATAGAGTCTATCTAGACCAACTTGGACCACATTAAACAAACTGCAAAAGTGATAAAGCCAAGACAGAACTAAAATTCCACCAGTTACAGAAATTAAGGAGGGAGAGATGATTAGGTTTATGTTCAAAGGTACTTTTAATATGTACATGGGGGAAACATCATTGGTTAATTTCATAACAAGTTCATACAGAATGCCAAACATTCTAGCATAATCGTTAGGGAATCAGAGGCATAGGGGCCTGAGAGATGACTTAACAACCAAGAGCCCTGGCTACTCTTGCAGAGGACTCAGTCTTGATTCTCCCCACCCCCATGGTGGTTTATAATAGGATTTTTGCCAAAATAGTGCCCAGAGTGAAGGAGGTTCCTTCCTTAGCTGTGGCCGAAGCACAGGTGTGTTGGAAGGTGTCTACCACACAAAGAAGCAGATCTTCACTCACCACCTTAAGTCAAGGCCCAGGACCTGTGGCTGCAATGGAAGCTTAACTACCCTCACAACAGAACCTCCACGAGAAACAAGCTTGCCCATTGTCCCAGCATCAAGTTGCCCTGACTGTTGAGCCAGCCATAAAGAAGACAGAAGATTACCCACTTGTGTTCATTGTGAGTGTCAAGTCCAGCATTCATCAGATAGGAAAGGCTGTGACATTGATCAAACCTGATGCAGACAAGGGGATATCCATCTGGCTCCTGATAACAAAGCTCTGGATGTTGTAAAAAAAAAAATAGAATAATCTAATCTGAGTCCAGCTGTTAATTCTAAAGACACGTTTGTTACCATAAAAATACTGGAGACTACTGAGGCCTAGGATACAAAATTCAGAATGGGCAAGTGGTCCGATTGCCAGTGGAACTGTACTCCTGCCTGGATTCTGTTCCCTGCAACCCTTCCCTCAGACCAATGTCATCCCAGTTTGTCCCTGCTGCTGTTGGGTCTCCACTCCCAACCCCAGTGGACTTTTGTCACTGAGGTGCAGACCATACCATCTATAATTGCCTTACCAGCTGACAAATGGCTCTTTCCCAGAACTCTAGCAAACTCCATAGCCGAGAAACACTCCACACCACTTGGAAGAACAGACACCATAAGCCCATGTACAGTCCATGTCAGTTAGGAGAACAGCCCCAGCAGCACTACTGGAGGCCAGGCTGGATCTACAGACCCAAGAAGACTTCAGTTTTACTGGATGCCAGACAAGATCAAGTTGCCCAAGGCCCCCAAAACTCCAGCAGAGACACCCTATGGGACCTGAACACTAAACAGTCACCAGAACCCTTGGCCACTTAGGCCAGAAGACCAGAGAAGAAATAGAAATCAAGAAACAAAACACCCATCCAACAAAGACAAACACAGGAATCAACAACTACACATATAATCACCCCAAATCCAGATGACTAAACTTAAGTATAAGAACACAATCAATAACAGAAAGGGCAATGTCACCACCAGAACCCAGCTATCCTATTACAGCAAGACCTGAACATTCCAGTGCAGCTAAAGTACAAGAAAATGCCCTTAAAAATAACTTTATGAAGATGACAGAGGTCCTTAAAGAGGAAATGAAAACAGACTCTTAAAGAAATGGAGGAAAAGACAATAAAAAATTGGAGGAAATCAATAATCTCTAAAAGAATGGCAGGAAAACCAAGTAGGGGGAAGGGGGAGGCAAACTGAGGGGATTCTGGAAAAGGGAAATCTGGGTTAGTGATGCAAGCATCACCAACAGAATACAAGATACGAAAGACAGAATCTCAGGCACTGAAGATATGATAGAGGAGATAGATCCATCAGTTAAAAAATATGAAATCCAATAAATTCCTAACACAAAACACCCAGAAAATCTGGGACACTATGAAAAGATCAAGTCCAAGAATAATAGGGATAGAAGGAGAAAAATACCAGTTCAATGACCCAGAAAATATATTCAACAAAATTATAGAAGAAAAATTTCCCAACTTAAAGGATATAGCTATAAAGGTAAAAAAGCTTACATAACACCAAATGGACCGGACCAGACCAAAAAGTACCCTCCCCACATAATAATCCAAACATTAAACATACAAAATAAAAAGAATATTAAAAGCTATAATGAGAAAAAGTCAAGTAACATATAAAGGATGATCTATCAGAATTACAACTGACTTCTCAATGGAGACTCTAAAAGCCAAAAGAGCTTAGACATACCTCTTACAGACTCTAAAAGACCATGGATGCTGGCCCAGTCTGCTATAACTAGCAAAATTTTTAATCACAATCAATCACAATAGATGAAGAAAATAATACACTTCATGACAAAGTCAAATTTAATCACAAATCCAGCTCTACAGAAGGTACTGGAAGGAAAACTCCAATCTAAGGAAACTACACCCACGAAAATACAAGCAATAGATAATTCCACACCAATAAAACCCAAAGAAGGGAAACACACACACACACACACACACACACACACACACACACACACACCATCACTTCCAGCACCACTAGCCCCACCATCACTACCAAACAAACAAGAATTAACAATCACCAGTCATTATTATCAATGAACACAATTTTCCAATAACAGAATAGATATGAAAACAGGATCCATCTTTCTGCCGCAT